ACTTCAGTGTATGTTCGTTGTATCTTCAGAAATGAAGTCTGGAAAGGAGCACGATTTGCCTAGACCCCGGAACATGTCCTGAGCATATTTATTTTAGCAGTTATTAAAGCTATTCCAGAATACATGTCCTTTTTTGACAGGATAAGTGAACACCTTCTGAACTGTGATTGGTGAGTGATGCGTTACCAAAATGTAGTGGAATAAATCCTCTTCTCTGCACATTGCAGATGATTCATGCTAGTGTGAAAAATGCTTGAGATGAGAAAGACGTTTAAAGTTGCCCTTAATCTGTCTGAAACTGAAATCTTCAGATGTAATGTTTTTAATAGATTGTTTCAATGATTCTCCAATGCATCATAATTTCATAGCCTTTTTAAAATGTTGGTATTCTGCTGATTATTAATCCATCATCTTAAAATAAATGCTGCAGTAAGTGAATAGCATTATCACTTTCCCTGCCATTACAAAGTGAGCACCTTATCTGACCAAAGGGGTATTTTGAGCAAATCTGGAAAAATTAGTAGAATTAACAGAAACAAACTGAAACTAGAAAAATATAGAGGAACAGTTTTTTCCCCCCTTCATCACACTAGTTTTATCACCACAGGTACAGTATGTCAGATCTTATTTTTTCATTTTGAATCTTTTTAAAGAAAATGTATTTTTAATTTAATATTTAAATCTAATTGGTTTGGAGGTTTAAGATTACTAACACCAAGCATCTTTTTATGGTGTTATAAATTCCACTGCACTGTGGATACAATTTAGCACCTGATGTGTGTAGCTGTCATTAAAGTTAAGCCTGATTTAACAATCATCTGCATTTCCTGTTTCCTATTACCAATTACACATCAATTCAGTACTTGGCCAGAAACAGTGGTGCCTTTTTTCAGATTTGATATTCTTTAAAAATAGCACTGATCAGATATCTATTCAGAAGACAGATTGTTGCAGTTCCATTTTGATTTGTGCAACAAGAATACAAATGCCAGCAAGCAAGTGCAAGCAGCAAATCATGAACAATTCTGACAGATTATTACTACAGTCCTGTTATTTGCATCCATTTGAAAAGATAAGCAAAACGTTTTAGAGCATGACATTAAGGGCAGAGTCAGTTCTTTGCTCACATTAAAAAGTACATTTAAAATACCATGTAAATTGATGGCAGAATTACGCATTGGGATTTCAGTGCTGAAGATCTTGATTGCCCAGCATTACAGTCATATCAAAGAATAAACAGAGTGTGGTGTTTCTTTTCCTAAAGTAGAGCAGCATAGCAACGTGGTTTCTGGAACCGTTGTGCAGAACATTTAGAGAAAATAAAGTTCATCAGTGTAAACTCGGGAGTATTCAGTATTTCACTGCATGCAGTTGCGGTTTAAATGTTATGCATATTAGAAAACTCAATAATACAAGGCAATTACTGAACTATGTACAGTTTATATCTTAATAAATGATATTACTACGATGGCAGTTAGCATTCCTGTCTCTCAACTTTTCAGTCCTGTTGTTCTCCAGCATGTTCACATGGGTTTTCAGCTAGGTGCTCTGGTTTTAATATGACTGAAAATATTTTTTTTGCATGACAAATTGTATTTAATAAATACGTTGACTATAATAAATATTGGTGCTGTTGTTAATGCTGTTTTAGTTTTCACTTCTGTTTATGTATTTTCTTAAAGTGCTTTGAAATTAGACAAGTAAAAAATACAATGAAATACAATAAAATATGGCAATATATAAACCTCCAACATAAACATATGCCATTTTAGACAGGTTTATTGAAACTACAAAAAATGACTAGACCTCCACTGAGAAAAAGATCCCTATTTTGTGAAAAATGAATCCATTTGGAACAATAATGCAACAGTTGGTACATTTTGGGCCCTTGGAGACAATGTTGTGCACTCTTATAGAATATATAGAATTATAAAAAACATGTATGTGTCCCAAAATGACAAGGTATCTGGAACACAGAATCTTGAGTAAGTACAAGCTCTGTTGGTGAGGGTTTCCTCAGAGCAATGCTGGGGGATTGGTTTTCGTTGTCAATGAAAGGACTATTATCCATTGTAGTACAAAGACGAGTGATATGTATGTAATAAGAGATGACATGTTGACCCTTTTACTGAATTAAGAAAACATTTATTTTGTGATTTGGAAAATGTTTGAAAAACAATTGTTAAAAGTCACTGTCCCTTGAGTGTCTCGTGGCATGTATTGTGCAGCCATGTTCTGTTGGTTCATGTATTGCTTGCTTATAGGAAGTTGTTGACTTTGTTCCTTAGGAAGAGTGAATGCTTTCAGTTGTATGGTCAATCCATCGGTGTTCAAACTGCATTTGTTTTTCTAGATATCCTTGCTAATGACTTTCCTAGAATGTTATAAACATCTTAAGTTTAAATTATTTTTAGCATATTGTCCCAGCAAAGGAAAATAATAATCCACAGTGACATCAGGCTCTGGTAGCTTAAGTGATTATCACAGCAACTCGCTCCTAGTAGCCCCGTGGCTATTCTTTATGATGTGCTGAATTACGGCTGTGGAAGACAGGTTGTAACCTATTTGAAAAATAGCACAAACACAGCTTGGCTCATAACAGTATGATATGTGGGTACAAGAGAGAGGTGCACAACAGGAGTCCCTCCACTGCCCTCTGTGGTCTTAATCAGCTTGCTTAGCCCTAAAACGGTACAGCAAAATCCAGGAGCATTAAGGTTAAGTCCAGATGAAAGAAAATATAGTGGCATGCATCCACGCTCTACCTTCTGTCCACTGTTGGGCAGTCAGCCAGATAAAGCAATTTAGGAGGAGGCTGGATTTATATTTACTCTAATAACTCTGAAGTACAGTTAATGAAGAAGGAATCTGACTGTGCCTCTACTTTTTCCCCATGCCAGTGCTCAGCATGTTGTCCATCTTACTCCTTCCATCACCCCTTCTCATTAATTAGCTTGGTGTGTCTGAACTGATAAGTATGAATCTTAACCCCTGCCTTTCTAGCATGTGCCAGAGAAAACAGCATTTCCTTTGTGTGTGGCTGAGTAATACTTGATTTATCTTCAGTGCTAAACCAAAAACAAATATTAATTGGGGTAAAATTAATCAGATTCTGCTAAAAGAACAAAAAAGTTGTAGGAAGTGAAAAAATTAAACACTTGCAGTAGGTAACAGATCTTACCCAGGAACATTTTAATGCAGAGCATTTGTCTGTTCCAAACTCTCTTTTCCATGTGGTCCTTTTTCTCCAGCTTTTTCATGTAATCCTGACCATTAAATGTGTGTTTTTGCAGACTTTAACTTGTTGAATTTTATTATTGTTGTAGCAGTTGTGCTATATGCTGAAGATGCACTTGAACAAATTACAGTGTGTTACTAATTTTTGTATCTACAGTACAGGTGATTTAAATGGATATTCACACTCTTAGTTTGAATGCTTACAGATAAAATTCCTTTTTCAAAACCTTGTTTTTGTTTCGTTACACAGTTAATTAATCAATGTAGGCTAGTAGATATAAACTTTCAAGATCAAGCCTGTGTACTTCTATAAATTTCTGTCTGACTGAAACTCAGCTGCAGGTGGTTTTTGTTCATTTCTAGGGGTGTTCAAAATGGTTCCTTTTGGAAAAATCCCCCACATCTTGAGGTGCATGAAAAGGATGAGTGCTTTGTGTTTACTTTTGAGGAAGGATTCTGACTCTTCTAAGGCAGTGTTTTATTAAGAATACTGATTTAGTTATGGCTTGCAGGAATATTTTTAAGCTGCCATATTTTTCAAAGTTCAGGGTTTTATTGTTTTTTTGTTTGTGTCTGTTTTCTTTGGTTTCCAAGATAACATCTTAGAAATCCAACCTAATAGTGCTTTTGCTGTAAAGATAACAAGCAACATTCTATAGTTGGGGATGCACAAGAGACCTCTTTTGTTCATTAGGTCTTTGTAATCATTCCTGAGAGGTCACATAACTACACATAAGCCTCCATAGTAGTACATTTGCATTCTTTTCTTACAAGGTTGTATTTTTATCTGCCAAAATGTGCTTCCTGTTCTCTCTGTATCACCTGTACAGAGCACATAAGTTGTGTTTCATGTGTGCTTAAAATTGTTGCAGTTTGCTGTCCCTAGTGGGCTTTTGGAAGTATTCACAATAAAATGCAAAGGCTCCTTTTATGTTCTTATAATATAGATGTTAAACGCCACAAACGCTTAACTTCCTACCTGTAGCCACCCACTCACTTTCAGTCTGCTTTTCCCATGTAGATGTGTAGTGAGATACAAACACATCAGAGCAAGCTAATTCTCAGCCCTGTCCCACCACCCTTTAAGGTGTAGTAGAATAATACTCACATTTATGTGTTCCATTTTGCATGGTCATCCTGCAGCTTTTAATTTTATTAGAGTTTTCTTTATCGGAGAATTAAGTAGTCCTGGAGAGCTGCAGGCTAACTCACAGAAGTGCTCTATGAGTATTTGGAAATGTGTATTTATAAAATGATGCAAAAATACCATTGGAACCCTTTAAATGCAATACACCGTTTTGTCAGTGCATGTTTCTTATTTTTATCTTCTTTTTCCATCTGTAGTTATTTAAAGTTGATACAGAAATATGAAGGTTAGATGTTTTGCTAACACAGGCAGTCTTATAAGAAATGTTTACATATCCGTAAGCCTTTATTGCAAAGAAAACTGGTTTTCTTTCATTTTCTTCAGTTTTCTGTTTGAATTACATTCACATTCAGAGACTGCCAACTGCTGTAAATTAAAATAATTGAGATTTAAATATTCTCAGGGGTTTTAAAAGTAAACACTTCATATATCAATACATGATGACTGAATGAATAATGCATCGTATTTCAGTTTGAAATGATAACCTCATAACCTCAGGCAATGCCTGGACTGTTTGCACTGTTGTAAACTTTGTGTTCCAATTTAAGAAAACAAGTGAGGTGTACTGTTGTGTTTCATGTCTCACATTTCTGCTTCACTTTATGTTTCTTTTCAGGTATGGCCTCGCAAGTGCAGGTATTCTCCCCTCACACACTTCAGTCAAGTGCCTTCTTTAGTGTGAAGAAACTGAAGGTGGAGCCAAGTTCTAACTGGGATATGACAGGGTATGGCACACATAACAAAGTCTACAGCCAGAGCAGTAAGAATATACAAGCCACTCAGGTGGCTGTCAACGCCTCCCTCCAAGTAGCCAACTCTACTCTTCCTTACGAGCAAGCTGTCATCTTCCCAGCTAGTACCGGGCACATAGTGGTCACCTCAGCCAGCAGTACTTCTGGAGCAGCGGGGCAGTTGTTAGGAGCTGGCCACAACCTGACCCGTCGCAGCACAGTGAGCCTGCTGGATACCTACCAGAAATGTGGGCTTAAGCGCAAAAGCGAGGAGATTGAGAACAACAGCAGCGTCCAGATCATTGAAGAGCATCCGCCAATGATTCAGAACACAGCCAGCGGGGCCACTGTCGCTACGGCCACCACCTCCACAGCAACTTCCAAGAACAGTGGCTCCAACAGTGAGGGGGATTACCAGCTGGTACAACATGAGGTACTCTGCTCCATGACAAACACCTATGAAGTCCTGGAATTTTTGGGCCGGGGCACCTTTGGGCAGGTGGTAAAATGCTGGAAAAGAGGCACCAACGAGATTGTGGCCATCAAGATTCTGAAGAACCACCCATCCTATGCCCGGCAGGGCCAAATTGAAGTCAGCATCCTAGCCAGGCTGAGCACTGAAAGCGCCGATGATTACAACTTTGTCCGAGCTTATGAGTGTTTCCAGCACAAAAACCACACATGCCTGGTCTTTGAGATGCTGGAGCAGAACCTCTACGACTTTCTCAAGCAAAACAAGTTCAGCCCTTTGCCACTCAAGTACATTCGACCCATCTTGCAGCAGGTGGCCACCGCTCTTATGAAGCTCAAGAGTCTTGGGCTCATCCATGCAGACCTCAAGCCTGAGAATATTATGCTGGTGGACCCAGCTAGGCAGCCTTATAGAGTCAAGGTGATAGACTTCGGGTCAGCAAGCCACGTCTCGAAAGCAGTGTGTTCCACATACCTGCAGTCCAGATACTACAGGTAGGGTCTCATGGGATTTTATGTTAAACACCATTGTATCAGATGTGTATCTGCCAACTGTTTCAACATGGGTTTGGTAGCTGTATGTTTGAATTTCTGCTTACTGTATATATAGCTTTCCAGTATTCATAAAATAATGGCTTTAAATTCATTAAGTGAAATAAAAATGTGCCATTAATAAGTGGCAAAGCAAAATATTTAAGGAGCACAACAAATTGTACAAGGAGATAATGTGGCCTGTTTGGCTTGGTGGGTAGTGTATTTTTCATCCAGGTATCTCATCCTGTGATTATTTCAATTACCTCCTTTGTTAATAAAGGATATGGGGATTCCTACCCTTGTAAATTATATTTATAAAGTATTTTATTATTTTATTAATAAAATATTTTATTAAAAGACAGCATAGAGTGAGCTTTTCTTCTTTCACATGCATCATGTTTAAATTTTATCAATACAATTTTAGAAATTCTAATATTTTGCTGAAGGACAGAGGTTAGAAACATTTCAGAATATTGCCATTGGGATTCAAATGAATAAGGTACATCATGCATACATACTCGGGGCTTTGGCCCTTTTAGGTGCAGGGTCAGGACCACCAATTCCAGTTCTTCAGTGCCAATTCCCAATTCCATTTTCTTGTTTATATTCAAAGTAGGAATTGAGCATGCTAGACTGGAATAAACTCCAGCCCTGGTAGGTGATGATTAACACTTTTTTAAAATTATTTGCTTACATTGTTTAATATGATTAGGGTTCAATATATTGTTTTTTTAACTGTAAAGTTGGTGGTCACTGTCCTCATTTGTGTGTGAAAACCAAGTGTGCTTTTCCTTCCCATGAAAGTGCTGTAAAATACAAACCTTTGCTTTGTTGAACTTGCTAAGAAATCAGCTATTTCTTGTGTTTAATATGCTGAAACAGCCATACAGTATGTGTTCTGCTTTGAAGATTAAAGAGAACATGTTTATTATGTTTTACAATATGGAATAGTTCTGGGAAGAAAACACCTGGGAAATATGTACTATAAAATAATTTGTTTAGAATAATTTAAGAAAAAGTGTTTCTTGTTTTTTTTATAAAAGACAGCTAAAAACACCTTCATTTAATAGTGATTATGAACATAGCCAGGGGTTAGTTCAGGCCTGGTTTCAGTTTCCTAGGGGACATAAATTAAAGGTCGAGTAGACTTCTTGTGTAATGTGTGCCTGTAATCTACACTGAACATTTTAGATAAATGAATTGTTGGTATGGATTTTTTTTATATTAAGATCAACGCGGTTATAGTGAAAGTGTCTGATTTGTTTGTTCCATATTTTTGGATGTCAGCATCTGGTTGAAAACGTATCGTAACCTAGTAGCGAGTAAACATTTTCAGTTCATTTTTTAAACCTACAGTACTTTTGTTTGCTGCAGATACTGAAATGTGGTATATGTAGAAAGCATAACAAGACTATTTGTACTTGGTTGTTTTGCTGATCAGTTGTTTTGCTTGATTTATACATACAGTAACAGAATACATGCAGGTATTTTTGAATTAATGGTTAATTTAAAATTCCCTTCCAAGTTTCTCACAGTTCACAGTGAATACCAATGCGCCCTGGCAGGCAAACTGGTCTCTACAATAGCATGATCTTCTGTAACTGGGGAGGTGCACTAATCTCTGAACTGGGCCAGCAAAAAACAATGCACTATGTATCGGGAACATACAGTGCACCTTTCAAATTCTTTTTCCTTGTAATACTTCAGCTCTACTACAAAAATACTGAAATTCACTAGAAATAATTCCCTAATATCAAGGACGTATAGGAAATCCTCCTGGAATGGATTTATATTTATGTAAATGTACAGTTTTGCATTGTTACAAAATGGGGGTTAAAAAATATAACATTTGAGTGGGGTAATAAGTAAGATAAATAATTATAATCCTCAAATTTTAAAGGATATGCCAAGAATATATCCCAGTGGTTGGTATCATTAGAGGTACAGTACCTGTGTTCTTTGCTTTGTGGCACAGCTCTTGCAAAAGAGAAATGAGATGCAAATAAAATATTTATTAAAAATAGCAATAACATAAACTTAACAACACATAAAATTCAAATTACAAGCTACCCCAATTACAAACATCTCAGAGGCCTACGTTCTGACCACTCAGATAAACCCTCACTGCTAACCCATTAGTCAGAAATCCTGTATAATGCTTAACAGGCCAACAGGTTAACGTACATCCTAAATAAAACAGATTACAACCCAAAAGCTAAATGTCCCTTTCTTTTAATTAGGATGCTCCAAAGTGAACGGGAATCTATCTCCCTATTCTAGAAATATGTCACTAACTAGGAGAGAACATTTTTGCCTGGGGATTCCTTATAAATGAAATAAAAATGTCCTGAAATAACAGCATGCTCTCTTAGAAAAGGTTTAAATGCTTAGCTAGAATCTGTCTTTAAGGCTGATTTGGACAAGCACCTTTCACCTGGCATGTCTTTTGTCCTCTCCCCTCTCTGTCTCCTTCTGTTCTCCTTCTGCCTACATACCTCTCTTTTTAGCCCAGGTTTCTGGACTGCTGATGACTTTACTTAACTAGAGCAGTGGTTCTCAAACTGTGGTACGCGTACCGGCAGTGGTACGTGGAGTGCTGCCAAGTGGTACGCCAAATGACCCTGGAACTGTGTCGTGTGCGCTGAAAAATCGGGACGGGTTTTCATATTTTGTATTTTACTACGTGTCGAATACACAGCCTACGTACTACGATACTGTGCGTGCTAATACTTCAGTGGACACAAGAGATACTCTGTAATTCTATACCACTCTATAGGAATGCGTGCTACGGATGCAAGTGACCAATTGTATTTAAAAAAAGCTACTGTATCTCCAGCAAATAGGGAGAAAGGAGAATGTGCGTGATTTTGGAACAATGCTAATGTTGTAAACACAGGAATGCATAGAAATATGTGCTACGAACGCAGGTAATCTTGTAAGAACACGAAAGAGTGATAACAGATAAATATTTATGAACTGTTCTAATTTGAGAAAAATACACAGAGCGTCTCTGTGTTTCGCTCCCATGCGCATGAAATAAAAACTTTAAATAAATACGGAAATAAAAACTGAAACGCAGAAAAATGCAAGCTTGCGGATTGCTAAAGCAGGTAAGCTACACTATTTTTGAAGAACCTTATTTACCGTTGGCAAAAGAGCTGACACGTATTATGTGTAGAGAAAAAGCTGCTAAACAGCTCGACCTGCTGCCCCCTTTCCCCTGACAGTCATTCATAGAATTATTGATATGATGGATTATATCAAAAGTACACTGATAGAGAGCAGATGTTTTTCACTGCAATTAGATGAGTCTGTAGTCCATTTGGCCAATTTGCTCATTTACGTTAGATACGAGTTTGAGGGCATGTCCCATGAAGACTTTCTGTTCTGTAAACCGCTACCAACAGGAACTACAGGAGAGCACATATTTCAGCTTCTGAATGAATTTATCGAAGAGAATGGCCTCGACTGGCTAAAGTGCGTCTGAGTTTGTACAGACGGTGCTAGGGCGATGACAAGCCGACATAACGGTGTAGTTGCACGAATTAGAGAGGTTGCTCCAGAAATTAATGTACGCATTACAACATCCACCGCGAGACCTTTGCCGTCAAGAAAATGCCTGACGATTTAATATCTGTTAGACTCGGTTGTGAATTGTATCAAGGCTCAAAAATTAATTCACATCTGCTTTGCTCAACAAAACAGGCTCACCCCTCTCACTGAAATGGTGCTTTTTTTATGAGTTGTTGTTAATGTTTTTTTTCTGTAAAACACTTTGAGAAGCCACCTTTAAAGGTGCTATATCAAATAAAGTTTATTATTATAATATTTATTATATGTATGTGTGAGTGTGTGCACGCGTGCTCATGTTGGTCATTGAGAATTGCTGGGGTTAATATGAGAAGATGACTTGTAGGTGGTACTTGGATGCTTTGGTTGGATTAGGGGTGGTACTTGGTCCAAAAAGTTTGAGAACCACTGAACTAGAGTAATTCCCCAGAAGGTCTCATTTGGCCTTTGACTCTCAGACAACCAAACCTAAGTTAACACATTGTCTACTATCCATTGATAGTTGGAAATGTTGACTTTCATTACCATTCTGACTTCCTTAACAGTATCTAGAACAAAAACAGGAATGTTTTTTTTAAAAGACCCCAGTTGTTACAAGTTAAATTATTTAGAATTACTCCAAATGTCAAGAAACTGCTGCAGTAAATGGATAGCTGTCACATAGCTGTACAATAACTAGGTATAGTTTTTAAAGCAGTGAGACAAGTTTTACCACAGGAGTTTCTTCAAACTTGTCACCCTGATATCTTCACCATTAATGGTAGGTGATTTTTTAAAAAAACTGGCTGATTTTTATTGTTAACATTTTTGTGTTGTGTGTGTTTGTGTACTTCATTGAACTGATAATAAAAAGTTATTTTTTACTGAAGTAGTATTTATATTTTAGTTAATTACATTAACTCTAAAGAACATGCAATACACCATTCGGAGCAAATCAAGCACGTCCTGCCTGGGACTAGAATATTAATTCCTTCAATAGGGATCCCATAACAATTTCTGTTTAAAAAGGTACCCACTTCATCCAGTACTGCTGGCCGATTGAAAAACAAGCAGGTGTTTATATTGCAGAATGTAGAATTTGAAATTAAATTAACTTTATCTGAGACATTATATTAAGAACAGAAACTGTTCTATTTCCAGGGGACATTTTTTAAAAAATAGTAATACGATTTTTCTAGTTCTGAAACAGTGAGGATTGCTACACAAAACCGCACTGTTTTTGTCCTCTATTGCACAAATCTCTTATGGCTGCAATAGTTATCAGATGTGTGTTAGTAAAAATATTGTATTTTTCAGACTAGAGTGACAGCATTTTCTGACTTTTAAAATTACAATAAGAACTCAGTAATGTTCACTGTAATGTCGTAAATGGTATAAGTTCTATGTTGCAT